GTCTTTCCTTCCTTCTTGGGCGCATTTACATCTACTGGGGCAGATTCTACTACTGCAGCGACTGACATTGTTTCTGCCGACTCAACAGCCCAGGACACGACGTCGGCCTCAACCTCTGTCATCTCACCTGATTCTAGCCTGTTCTCGTCCGATCTAAGTAAAGATTTCGGTTCCAGTAGCATTTCTGCTTCAGCCACACAATCTGGACCTGGCTTAGTAACCCCAACAGCGACCTATGTGACGTCTGTGGTTGTGTTCACAGGAACCGAGTCCCTCACGAACACCGGCCTTGTCCCTCTCACCACCATTTATCCAAGTAATGGCGACGCACCGACTATAATATTTGGTGCGGCGAGGAGACTCTTTGCTTCCGTTGCTGTGCCGTACTCTGGCACGGGGATCATCACTGGACCTCAGCAAGTGAGCATCGTGCTGCCAAGCGGTTCAAGCTCACTGGTCCTCGGGACAATTGTCTACGCAACACCAGATCCTCTGATCACGTCTGAGGTAGACTACACTGGAACAGGCACCCTCACCTCGCCTCTACCATTGACTACCATCTACCAGTCTGGCACAGTCCCTGGTACTATTGTTTTAGCAAGGCCAGCTATCTTTGCTACATCTGGGACCAGTTCTCTTGCCTTTTCCAGTGCTTCGAGCGAGCCCTATCCCCTTTTCGAGTCAAGCACGACACTGCAGTCTATGAGCTCGGTTGAAAGCAGTTTGTCACTAGAAGCTAGCTATTTCTCCACGCCCCCTTCTCCACTAAGCTCTGTTTCGACTGTTGTTTTCTCTGGAAGCTCATCGGGGCCGAGTGACGATCCCGAGTCTACCACCTCGAGCGTACCTACTGTTCTGGCTGACTCCAGCACATCGAGCGAATCGCAGCGAGTATCAAGCAGCCTTGTAGCGGCGTCCCAATCAACTTCATCCGATAGTTACAGCTCGATGTTTGGTGAGTCGAGCTCTTCCGCAATACTTTCAGCTTCCTCAGTTGGTTCCATTTCAACCGCCGAGCCGTCGACTTCTATCGCACCATCGACGGATGGCAGCCTCTCGAACAGCTTCAGTATTGATCCAGCATTACTGAGCACGTCTTCGAGCTTGACAAGTAACCCAATTTTCTCAATTTCTACGAGCGAAAGCCTCGTCTTATCAAGCCAGACGACAACATCAGCGGATTTAGAAACCACTGCAGTCCAGGCGACGACATTGGAATCATCTGGAACAAGTATTGAAGTGTCCTCTTTCAACACTGTTGAAATTAGCGACTTGCCATCTTCGTCTCTCTTGGTAGTGTCTCCCACTGCTTCCTCGCCTGATTTCAGTTCTGCCACTGGAGTTTTCCCCGCCGATTCCTCGGCTTCCATCGAGTTTCCTTCGTCTGCGGAAAGTGGCTCTTCATCCGGAGACGCCATTCCAACCAGTTCCTCCACCTCCGGTCAGACCCTGGTCTCTAGTTCAGCTTCTCCAACATCCGGCCTTTACGACAGCATTCAGATACCCTTTACAGGCACTGATCAGTTGCCTACTCCGGTTCCCATCAGTACAGTGCCTCCAAGCGGAAGCGTCCGTGGGACTATTGTATACGCCGCTCAATTCCTCACGTCAACAGTATCAGGTACGGGTCAGTCCACAGTCACCCTTGCGACGATCCAGCCTTCTGGGACACAAGCTTCTGGTTTGATAGTCGTTGCAGTTCCTGCATCGCTAGATCCGTCAACGACGCCATCTGTCTCATCCGATAAGGGAAGAACATCTACCAGCGAGATCAGCTCTGATTCATCAACGGATTCACTCGAAACTTCGGTAACTTCCGTAGCTGCGACGAAGAATATCAACTCGAGCGGAAGCAGTGACAGTACCGAAACTGTCGAGGCTAGCATAAGCCTTGAGTCAAGTAGTGTCTCGACGACATTCAGCGAAGTCAAAAGCGCGAGCACCATCAATCTCGGAACAACAGGCACATTCTTTGCTTCTCTGCTTACCACCACCGATTTGAGCTCATTCAGTGGCGTTTCTTCTACATCTAGTCTTAGCAATTTGGAGAGTAGCAGCACCTTCCTTTCTCCTGACGCCCTCAGCACCGACACGAGTACTAGGTATTCGGGAACTATCGGATCAGAAGCCAGCAACAGCATCCTAACGACTAGCAGCACCAGCGACTTCGAGACGATTTCCACAACGCTTGCTTCTCTAATATCTACCCCCGATCTCAGCTCCACGTTTGGCTGGTCCACTACAGTAGATGATACTGCCTCGACGTCCAGCGGCTCACTTGCGGAAACCGCCAGCTTGACCAAAAACACTGAGATCTCTTCGCCAGCTTCTTCCAATCTTGCCTCCGAGACAGCCAATATTTCTCTCGAGATTACAACCTCCACTACTGGCACTCCAAGTACGTCGAATAGCTCGCCGACAGATAGTTCCTCTTCTCTTCTGTCGACTAGCACCGATACGACTGCCTCCTTTTCTCCGGATTCTGCAAGCAGCAGCCTCACAGCAGCTATTTCGATTCCTTCTGAGACTTCACAATTCTCTACTACATCAGCATCGGTGGACGCTGCTTCTTATGTCACCTCGCAACTCATTTATGTCGGCCCATCTTCACTATCAGAGCCTCTTCCATTAAGCACCGTCCAGCCCACGAACGGGTCTCCAGGGACTGTCATTTTGGCAGTTCCAGCATCTTTCTATGCCACTTCGACTTTGATCTACACCGAAGGCGACTCCTACCTCGTTCCGTCTGCCATTAGTACAGTTGCGCCTTCCGGAACAGCTAAGGGTACCGTCATCTTTGCCGCTCGGTACGCAGTGGCTAGGGTTACGTACTCGGGCACTTCAATCATCACGGAGCCTATCCCAATTGCCACATACCCGGGCAGTGGAACAATCCTTGGTACCATTGTTTATGCCGACCCTCCGTCATCCTTAGCATCATCAGAGGCATCATCTACGACGTCAACCTCTACAGACTCGTTCACTCCTCCAGCCACCTCCTCCGACGTAGGGGTCTCTTTTACATCGTCCAGTAGCTCACTCGTGTCTACTAGGTCTTCGTCATTGGAGGTTTTCACTGAATCTTTGACTTCTTCGAGTGACACTTTCACGGTAAACCCTGACACACTCCTGACAAGTTCTACCTCTGTTTCGACGACGGAAGAGCCAACAACGACAGACGGACTATCTCCCGAGATTTCTTCATCAACATCAACATTATCATCGAGTGATCTCACAGACCTCGCAGCTTCTTCAACTTCTTTCACAACTAGCTTAGATGGCGAGGTGACATCATCTGCCAATGCGTCATCAGGCAAAGAGTCAACCATTTCAAGCACTTTAGCCACTAAATCTACCTCAACATCAATCGCTCCATTGTCTCTGTTGTCTTCAAGCTCCTTGGAAACAATTGGCCTCGATACCCTGTCACCTACCAGTACATCCAGCAGTTCATTACCTGACGTGGACAGCAGCACATCGGCTACTCCATCTAGAGACTCTGCTCTTCCCAGTCCAACGTCATCATTTGACTCAGGTTCTGCGGCCAGCAGTAATCCCCAATCGCCATCGGCGACGTCTACTCTTAGCTCAGCCACCACTGTCACATCAACAAGCGATTTTGCGGATGAAACCTCAACCAGCTCTTTGGCGGAGTTTTCGTCATTGACCTCAAGTACAGATACGATGCTGGAGCCGGATACCTTACTTCCGACCTCCACCAGTACCTCCTCGAGTGAAACCTTTTCTATAGCAAGTATCTCAGCTTCAAGCCCAAGCCCACCATCCACATCGATTTCATCTGGAGATTCGTCCTCATCCTCGAACACTCAAAGTACAGTAGAGATCAACACCTTGCTGTTAACATCTAGCGGCTCAACCACAATACCCTCAGTGTTATCGAGTGACACTGATAGCTCTGCTGTACTGACTACCTCAACTTCAGAGCCCAGTTCTAAGCTTACTACAATCTCTGAAGAGGATTCATCGTCCTCTTTCAGCGCTCAGACAACTGCCGAGATCAATACTTTGCTACCAACATCTACTATATCATCAACTACAAACACAGAGGCAGGTTTCTCGTCTTCCGAATTGAGCAGCTCATCAGGAGCTTCATCTACATCAGGCTCGACTGCTACGCTTGATTCGTTATCGTTCATCCCCAGCACCACGTCCTCGTCAGCTTTGGGTTCTTCAAGTGTCTTGAGCAGTGAGGGCTCTGACTCCATTACCTCGAGTTCAAGCGTGCCCGTCAATCTGAGCACGCTGCCTTCCTCAACTAGCCTTCCAATAAGTGAGGATATCAGTTCCTCGACCTCTAATGGAGCAGATGCACCGACGCCAACCCCAATATCGACCTTGTCTCAGTCAACTTCAAGCAGCCTAACGCTGGAAACCACATTCACTACGTCTGAGGGCTCCGTGACTGATTCTTCGTTTTCGAGTGCCACGATTGATCCGAACAGTCTACTATCTACATCATCAAGCACATCAACGGAGCAAGACCCGAGTTCTACAGATATACTTGGATCGTCCTCGTCAACTTCGCAGTCGTCTACGATAGTAGACTCATTTACAGCTTCAGACTCCTCGGAAACTTCTTCTAGCTCTCCCATCAGTTCCAGTATCCTTACTGCGACTTCCACTAGTTCGACATCAGGCGTTGAACCCACCTCTTTGGAGGTCACCAGCACTACTGCCTCATCAAACAGCCCTACAATCAACACGGATAGCCTACTGGCAACCTCGCAGAGCACTTCGACTGAAAGTGCATCAAGCACCTCTGAGGGCATCTCGCTGTCCTCTTCAAGTTCTACAGCTATTTCTACTATCAGTTCCACGGATTCTTCTTTCTCGAGTACGACTGGCAGTTCGGTCACCGACACAACTTCTATGAGCTCGCAAGCAAGCTCTGAGGAAATTATAATCACACCAATATCTTCCTCTGCTAACATATCCACGAGCAGCTCACAGTCTCCTTCTCTCACGGTCGACCCCGCAACTCAACTTTTGAGTTCGACAACTTCTATTTCTTCCGAGAGCGATTCTCTGACGTCATCAAGCTCTACCGCTAGTTCCACTGGATCCTCCATATCGCTATTGACCAGCACTTCTACTGTCGAATCAACCTCTTCAGCTCCCCAATCAAGCTTTGAGGAAGCTACAGACGTTATATCTGTTTCCTCATCGGTCACTACGTCTATGTCTCCATCTTTTTCTCCAACAATTGACCCCGCCAGTCTTGTCTCAACGTCCATAGAATCGACAACTACTGGTTCGACGTCTTCCCTTTCCTCGACAAGATCATATCCAAGCTCTTCGCCTGCACCCAGTTCCGAAAGCTCAGCTGAGGCCACATCTAGTCCATCACTCTCCTCGTCGTCAACTTCGACCGTGCTGTCTCTATCTTCGAGCCAACCGATTGATCCAGCGAGTTTGGCTCCAAGTTCGGAAGCATCTTCTTCGAGCTTACCGACATCCTCAGTCAGCTCAACCGCCGGAATCCCAATCACAATCTCAAGCTCGACTTTACCCTCAGCTTCTGCTCCTTTCACCCCTGTGTCCTCCAGTTCGACAAGCGATGCAGAAACCTCAGCTACTCCATCTGAGTCGTCGTCGGCGAGCACTACGAGCACTTCTTCGCTAACGTCTCCGTCGCTGTTAACCTCGTCTCAATTGTCAGTCAGCTCGTCTCCCTCGTCAGCATCTCCAAGCCCAACAGTCGACCAAGCAACGCTACTGCCTACTTCCGAGTCATCATCAATTAGCACGTCCACAGATTTAGGCTCCCTGTCTTCGTCTTCGATCGCGCCGGATGCGACTCCCTCGACCTCATCTGACTCCACACCCAATTCAATTACTTCATCTACGTCTTCGAGTTCCACAATCACTCAAGAAACTTTGCTACCTACTTTACAGCTGTCATCGACCAGGACTTCAACCTTCTCATCGTCGTCAACAGCTTCCTCTCCGCTTTCATTCAGTTCCGCCTCCGAGCCTACAACTACTCCATCCGTTTCATTTGTTTACACAACCATTTTCTTAACGGCTTCAGACTCGCCAGACTCAACTATCATTGCTTCAATCGGTCCCAGCGGTACTCAAGCTGGCACTATAGTCGTTGGAAGGCGAGCACAGTTTGTTACCGTCACTCGCCCATATAGTGGAACCAATACTCTGAGCGGCGGTGCAACTACTGTCAGCATCGTTCAACCGCAAGATGAACAGCCAGGTACGGTATACGTTGAGACAACTCCAACTGCGGCACTCTCGACCTCTATGTCGACATCGACCGACCTTTCGTCAACGTCGTCGAGCTCGATATCCTCGAGCTCTTCGACCTTCGAGCCGACCTCAAGTACATCTCTTACTAGCGCCAGCGCCCCCTCTACAAGTACGACTGATGCTGTCGAGCCGAATACCTTTCTGTCAAGCACGAGTGCTGCCCCGACGAGCTCTTCTTCTAGCTCAGACTTGCTCTCGTCGACCTCAACTTCCCAGCCATCGTCGACTCCAGCTACCACGCCTGAGTCGACTAGTAGTGTATCTTCCATATCGGGTTCGAGCCCACCTTCCAGCAGCAGCTCAAACAGCCTCTCGGACCCATCTTCTAGCATTTCCAGTATCATATCGTCAGCTACAGCCAACTCAGCGGAAAAGACTACCTTGCTGCCGACCATGAGTGTGTCTTCAACGAGCGCCTCATCTAGCTCGGAGCTTCTATTATCGGGCTTGACATCACTGTCTTTGTCTGTATCAACAGTACTGTCTTCATCGACCACAAGTGGCGCCTCCAGCCAATCCTTCCAGAGCAGCTCAAGTAGCGTTTTAAGCGCCTCTTCCATTGTGACCTCACCCACATCGAGCCGGGATGTCGATCCCGCAACTTTGTTGTCGACATCATTGACTCCATCGTCGTCATCAACCACAAGCCCGACTGTTTTGTCTAGTTCAAGCTCTGTCGGTTCTCCCAGCACGTCCGCAACCGCAAGCGTCCCAAGCACACCCTCGATGCCCTCGCCGAGCAGCTCGGCGTCGTCAAGTACCGCATTCGATCAGGCCACCTTGCTGCCGACCACGACTAGTGCTTCCTCGACATCGACTGCGGGATCAACTACCGGCTCGACCGCGTTCCCTTCTTCGGATTCTTCCAGCGCAAGTCAAATTTCAAGCTCATCAACGATAACGAGTGCCTCGCCGGTGCCCACGTCTTCAAGCATTACGATTGGCCAGGCTACCTTGCTGCCGACTACCTCAAGTGACTCTTCGACGTCAACCTTAAGCCCAAGCATTAGTGCGTCCGCGACTTCGTTGTCGACTTCGCTCTCAAGTCTCCCCAGCACAAGTCAGATCTCATCGACAGCTGCGATCACATCATTGACGCAAACCTCATCCAGCTTCTCGTCAAGTGATTCTTCCTCAGCGAGCTCAACCGTGAATGCTGCTACGTTACTTCCAACATCAACTAGCACCTCAGTGGGTCAAGACTCGAGTTCCTTTAGCACGACTTTGACCTCCTCTACCTCATCGATCAGCAGTCCTGCTTCCAAACCGGCGTCTTCTTCAAGCAACCTTCTCGACAACTCATCATCAACCGCCACATTGGTATCTACGACTTCTAGCGCTTCACTGAGCAGCTCTCCAAGCACTTTATCGTCAATAGGCACCTCGTCTTTCACTGCCTCATCTTCGACTACGTCCGGCGGTGTTTCAATACCACCCAGCACCTCCTCGTCATCCATCTCAAGTATCTCATCGTCGGCCAGCCCAACGGCAAACGCTGCCACGCTGCTTCCCACAAGCAGTAGTACTGTAGCGTCCTCTTCGAGCAGTTCCAGTAGCAGTTCTCTTCCATCTCCTAGCTCTGCAGTCAGCTCAAGCTCCATTTCTAGCAGTACTCCATCTAGTAGTAGCTCGTTTAGCAGCTCTACATCTGCCAGCCCAGCTGCCAACGCTGCCACACTGCTCCCTACGACAAACAGCGCAGCAGGGTCATCCTCAAGCACCAGTTCAACGGCAGCAGCTTCGAGCAGGTCCGCAAGTAGCTCTTCGCCGTCTCTCAGCTCGTCGGCCAGCTCATCTACAGTTGCCTCCACCAGCAGTGTTACAATTATTACTAGTATTCTGTCTAGCACGTCTTCTTCCTCTCTTTCTCTGTCTTCTTCATCCAGCCCAATAGTCAATGCAGCCACGCTCCTATCAACGACCAGCAGCGCTTCTGAGAGCAGTCTTTCGACAGTCTCGTCTTCACCTTCCAGGGCAACAACAAGCTCCTCGCCAAGTGCAACGAGTGGCTCTTCTATCGGAACTACATCGTCCTCGTCTACTTCATCAATTCCGACTGTTAACGCGGCTAGTTTGGTATCCAACTCCATTAGCGGGACGCTCACGAGCAGTATCTCTGTCATCAACTCGTCGTCAAGTACCACAGCAAGCTCTTCGAGTTCAATTTCTACCAGCAGCATGATTTCTACGAGTACGAGCAGGTTCTCGAGCAGCTCCTCAACTGGCACTCCATCTTCTTCAAGCCCGACGGTTGAAGCAGCCTCACTAGTGTCCACTACTAGCAGTGGATCTACAAGCAGTAGCTCTTCCACAAGCTCAACATCTCTCACCGCCGCCAGCCCTTCGAGCTCGATATCCACTAGCAGTGGCACTATTACCAGCTCATCGTCTAGTAGCTCTGCTTTCAGCACTTCTCCCACTTCTTCGAGTGTGACGGCCAACGCAGCAACCCTGCTATCTGCAACGAGCTCCACAACGAGCACCTCGACGACGACCAGAAGCTCGACATCTAGCGCGGCGTCTCTAAGCAGCACTTCAACCAGCTCTTCGAGTAGTTCCTCCAGTAGCTCTACTACCAGCAGTTCTACTACTAGCAGTACACTCAGTATCTCTTCGAATTCCTCTACTAGCGTCACAGTCAACCCAGCAACTCTGATACCCACAACAAGCAGTACAATCAGCACCAGCACCAGCACGACGGGTAGCAGTTCTTTCCCAAGTAGCAATAGCTCGAGCAGTGTATCTTCAAACACCTCATCCTCGAGCGCCACTGTCAATGCCGCGAGCTTGGCATCAAGTATAAGTCCATCGACATCAACCACGAGGACCTCAACGTCGTCTTCACTCTCTCCAAGCTCTAGCAGCTCTTCCTCGAGCACAGCAGCAACCTTGTCGTCTTCTACATCACCTACAAGCTCTTCCCTAAGTTCATCTTCAAGCTCATCCGCCAGCGCTGCGCTCAACACTTTGTTGACTTCATCGAGCGCCTCCACGTTCTCGACCTTGACAAGATCGTCGTCTTCTTCTTCGACGACTTCGTCTACGTCGAGCAGCGTCGGTGTTCAGGCAAACACGCTGGCGTCGACTGGCTCGAGTTCAAGCAGCACATCCACGTCAGCTACCACAACAAGCACATCAGGCTCGACTTCATCGTCTACTTCATCGAGCTCATCCTCCTCCTCACGGGCTAGTAGTACCTCCATATCTTCTTCAAGCTCGACTTCCAGCTCAAGTTCAAGCTCAAGCTCGACCACATCTTCATCCCGTACAACCCCCTCAACAAGCAGCTCTTCCAGCTCAAGCAGCAGCAGTACCAGCAGTTCCTCTACCTCATCCAGAGTCGTCGCCTCAGCCACACAAGGCCCCGCATTCTCGTGTCCCACGACCGGTTTCCTCATTCAGTCCCTGACCCTCTTCTCACTGAACCTGGCCACCGGAGAGCGAACCCAAATCGCCGACAACATAGGCGGAGACTCAACTCGCAATATCAACGCCTTGGGCTATAACGCGAGAGAGGACTACCTCTATGGTATCTCCCAGAACGAGGGCGCCACCGACTTCAAGATCATCCGCATCCTGGCCAACGGCACGGGTACGTATGTCGCTACGGTCAGCAAGCTCACAACTGGCCTGTTCAACTCGGGCGACATCGACGAGAACGGCCAGTACTGGATCTCCACTGGTGGAGCCGACTTCTATCAGTACAACTTCGCTCCCGGCACCGCAAACTACGGAGGTCTCGTCAATAGTGGCAAGCTTAGCGGTACTGGTGGTTACACCATCGGTGACTGGACTGTCGTTCCTGGCGTCGGAGGCGGAGATCTATGGTCCGTCGGCGTGAGCAACCAAGTTGCCTACTTGTTACGCTGGAGCCGGACTACCCACGTATTCACAGTGGTTCGCAACTTGGGCAACCTCACAGGGGCAACTGGGACCACGGTACCTTTCTGGGGTGCTAGCTACGCAACCACGGATGGCTATCTCTTTGCGGTGGAAAATGGCAGTGGGCAGATTTGGCGTATTGCTGTTGACGGCTCGTCAGCCCCGCTGAGATTGAAGGATGCACCAGTCAGCAGTCGAAACGATGGCGCTAGATGTCTGGATTCCGGTGCCATTGTTGTCAGTGGCTAATTGTGGCCTGATGTCTCCTTCATTTATCTCTCCTTTGTCCTTGCAAAACCTTCCTTCGTATCATGAAATACCTTAGCCAGCGCCGTGCTGGGGAATTATTTGTTTTTACAGAGTTTTATTGAGAATAATGGTGCACGAACACGGATCATACACCGAATTAATAAATGATAATGTCAATTTCCTTATCAAGTTGCTCATTACTGCTAGCTTCTAGGAGTCAATCTCGAGACGTCGCTGTCTCAGAGGCATCATTGCCGCGGCGCATCCAGGGACCAGTGGTATAAATGAGACTTGATGCTGGCAGGAGTAGCCAAATCAACCAAGCCACCTGTAATCACAGAGAGCGCCGAATTTAGCGAGCTGGCTCCCGGAAACCATACATGGCATCGACGCTTCCCAGTCGTAGCGAAGATTAAGCTGCTTTACTTGGAGGCTCTAGGCGGGCGCTAATAGAAAGTAAATATACATCATCCACTTCCAGCCATTATCGCCTTGCACATATACTCATTTGTATACGCACGAAAGGGTATCTAAAGACGGGCAGTTCATGTGATGAAGTAAAATAACTATATATAATGTGAGAGCCCACGATTGGCGTCGCCAGACGCAATCCCGGCCGGCACAAAGTATTCGAGTCAAGATACTAATTGTCTATAGTAAAGATTCGAAGAGTTAGTCTTCTATTATGTGCTCTCAAGAATGGGAGTCCAAGAGAGGGCATCCATGAAGAAAACCTCGCTCCAATGTTCAAGTCTCGCAGGTAAGGTGATAGGCAAGCAACTTGTGATGTCGCGAACCACAATGATCAGTGCGTAAGACTGCATAGGTAGCTGCGAGTACTCCGTAATAAATCCCCAGATTCGCCATCTTGAATGGCTGATATAGACTTTAGGGTTATATCACAGACCAACATCAGTTAAGCTTCAAGTTGGTAGTGCTGGCCTTGAAGTTTCCCAAAGTTCCACCGAGTCAAGACCCATGCTAATTTTGGCCCAGATTTGGCACTAGATGATCGTATTCTATCAGTAGTTACTCATCACAAGGATCGCAAGGGATCCCAGCCCGCCTTAAATTGCTTAAAATGCATCCCCAAGCCAACTAAAAACTGTGAAAAAATGACGCTTTACGCTGTAAATCAGGCTTGGCTGAACATCCACGGTCGCTATGAACTCTGACGTCGCCGGTTCCGCACAACAACTTGGTTTTTTCTCTGCCTCCCCCATCCTCAGGACTCTCGCCCGTTGGTTGAGAGTCAGTCATACCAGCAAAAATTATATCACACCGGGGTCACCGGATGTCACGCCATATATAGCATTGTTTGCCTATGCCCTCTCCACTGCGAAAATCGCCAAGATGCCAAAAGAGGAGGAAAAAAGGGGGTTCGCCGTTCAAATTGGGTAGGACCCGGAAGAGACTTACATGGGGTCTCCACTGCGAATTGACCGTTACACTGCCGGCAGCCGAGGCTCAGGACGAGAGAATGAAGAACTACATAGTCGGCGGGGGTTCCTCGCTCGTCTTGTAGTTTCCCTTTCGTCTCTTCAGTGCCATCGCTGAGAGCATTCACACTCGTTTTCGACATTCGTTCTTTTTGCCGAATCTGGAGTCAAGATGGCGGCCGTCACTAAGTTTGGGTTCGAGTACCAGACTGCCACTATCAATGGCGTTGAGTACAACTACATCCACGCTGAGCCGGCAGGCAAGGTAGTAGGCACAATCTTCCTCATCCACGGGTGGCCCGATATGTCCCTGGGATGGCGCAACCAGATTCCTTACCTCCTGTCTAAGGGCCTCCGGGTCATTGCTCCGGACATGATGGGTTACGGAGGCACTGATGCTCCTGCCGACGTCAACTACTAGTAAGTCTCTTACACCAAATACCTTGCTTCAACGAGGAAAGCTTGGCAAAGACTGACGAACCCAATCAGCACATTCAAGCGCGCCTCCGATGACATCGCCGCCCTCGCCAGCCACCTCGGCCTCTCGCGCATCATCCTGGGCGGCCACGACTGGGGCGGAGCGGTCGTCTACCGCGCAGCCCTCTGGCACCCGGAGCTGATCTCGGCCTTCTTCGTCATCAGCACCCCCTTCGCACCGCCTCGACTGGCCTACATCGACCAGGCCACCGCGCTGCCCACGCTGCACTACCAGCTGCAGTTCCGCACCGACGCCGTCCAGGACTACATTGGCCTCGGCGACATCCAGAACGCCACCCGCGTCCGCCAGATCCTCAACACAATCTACGGCGTCAGGCTGCCCAGCGGCGCATCAGCCTTCAACTCCAGCGGCGCCGGGTTCGACTTTGACCTTCTCGACGGCGTGACGACGGACACGCCGCTGTTGAGCGAGGAGGAGCTTGACTACTATGTTGAGAACTATGCCGGTGGCGACCCCTTTAACAGGACGCTCAACTGGTACCGCACCGGCGAGCTCAACTGGCAAGACGAGCTTGCGCTCATCCCCAGCAACGCTACCGCGTACACGGCCAAGTACACGCAGCCTGCGCTGTACATCGGCGGTTCGCTCGACTCGGCACTGCCTCCCATCTTGTCGACGGGCATGGAGACGTACTTCGACAGCTTGTCAAGAGGCGAAGTGAACGGTACGCATTGGGTCATGTGGGAGAAGCCCGAGGATGTGAACGGTTATGTTGGCAACTGGCTGAGCAGCTCAGTATTGGGAAACTTGAGTCTCGGTGTCAATGTCACGGCTGGGAGCGCTCTGGCTTTGCTGTGATCGATGCCATGTCGGTGGAGGAGGGCCTTGCCTGGGGGTCGAATGGGAAGGACAACGATGCGAATGACTATGAACATCAGTATATAATAGAAGAATATTACCATTGTACATTTGAATTTCCAAGAAGCGCCGCTGCGATAGATGAAAGCAATCAATCGATCGACCTCATGTCCTGAAGTCGTCGACACTGCAAGAAAAAGTATGGTGGGGTGAGGGATGTGCGAAGATGCAGCTGCAGGAAGGGACCGTCCGTTCACTGCAGCCCAGGGCCTGGAACGTTGGCAGCCGTCTACCTACTCGTGCCCGCCCCCACTTTAATGGGCATTCGACACTCACCACCCACTAAAGTAGGTGCTTTTCAGCTAAACGGCCACGTCGCCCAAACGACTATAATTATCCCTATTTACTACTATATATTACTACTATTATAATAATCTATTATAATAGCTAAATTTAATACTATTAAAAAGGAGCGTATATAAGTAGCTATTATAACTATTTATAAAAACTTAGAGTTATTAATTATAATAGTAGTTTATTAATACTTTATACTATGTTAAAAACTATTTTAAAGGATTTTTAATAGAGCTTTATTAAAAAAGTATATTAACTACGGCTATAAGCTCTTTTAAGATTAAAAAAAAGCGATTTATAATTATATTAACTATCTAAATTAAATTAACTTACTAATAAAATAAGAGCTAGTTATTAATATTATTAATTACTTATTTACTAAGTTATAAGACCTACTAAGTAAATTTAATACTAAGAGCCCTCCTTTTTTTTTAATTATTAACTGTTAATAAGCTAATTAATTTATTAAAAAATATAAATACTTTTTAATTAAAAAGAAAGTACTAAATACTAAGTAGTATAAATTTAAAAATAAGAATACTATTAACTCTTATTTTTTTAAGCTAAAAGAGGTTATTAAGGAGTATAAGATCTAATTATATAATATATAAAATATAAATAAGACTAGGTTCTAAATAAAGGTTAAAAAATCTAATATAATAATTATAAAAAAACGTAGAGCTTATTACTTCGCCCTTTTAATTAATAAAGAGTTAACTACTTATTATAGTTAGCTAGTCATAATAAGTATATTAATAAAAATTAAAGCTATAATAACTAAATAAATAATATTATAATCATAAATAGCTTTCTTAAAACTATATTTATAAATTATAAAATAAGTAAAATTTCGGTAATTAATTGTAATCTTATTAAAAAAAGTTTTTAATAAAAATAACTAAAAGTAATTATAAAATCTAATATTAAGTTAATTATTAAAAAAGTTATAAAAAGTCTATTTTTAAACCCGGCTTAAGTTTATACTATATATAAGTCTTATTTATAAATATATCTTTTATAATATTATTATTTATAATTACTTAATTATTTATTAAATAATCGTTTATTTTATTTATATATAATCGTTTATCCTATTTTTTTATAAGCGTCCGTTTTTTATTTTATTATATAATTATAATTATATAACTTATTTATAGTTCTTTTATCCCGAAAGGAGTTATCTTAAGTTCGTTCTTTTTATATATATAGTATAATAGCCGCTATAGGTCTTATAGGGCGGCCCCTAGCCTTATTATATTTATTAAGTCGTAATAATTTTATATTAATAAATAAATAAATAAGGCCCTAGTTATTTAAAATAGATTAAATATCTCTTATATTATTAATTTACTACTATAATTAAATATTAAAATCTAATAAAAAAATAAAAAATAAAAAAGCCTATTTAAATTTATTTTAATAAATAATACTACTTATATAATAAAATTACTTCACGGCTTAACGAGCTTTTAAATTATTATAATTAAACCCTAGTACTTAAAAAAAGCTAACCCCGAGTTATTAATTATAATAATAAAATATATCGAGCGCTTATTAATCCCCGTAACTAACTAACTAATTAATAATAGTTCCCTTATTAATAAGATCCTTAATAAAATCGTTATAATAATTAATAATAACCCTTTATTATATTAAAATAAAAAAAATAAAAAAATATTAATATAGCGCGGCTATAATAATACTTCTATAACCTAGGCCTATTTTATATCTAAAAAAAAAATAAACCTTAAGTTAGTTACTAAACTCCGTAATAAAGGTATTATTATTATCTTAAGAACCCCCTTTAAAAAATCCATTAATAAAGAGCTTTTAGGCCTTATTAAGTAAACAATAATTAAATTTATTTAACTTAGCCCTAAGTATAATAATATAAAAATATTTAAGTCCTAATTTATTAATAAAATTAAAAACCTAGGCTTTAGCCTTATTAAAAAATCTTACTTAATTATATAAAAATATAATAATAATAAAAAAAAGAAATCTTTACGTAATTATTAATAATCTAAAAAACTAACTAATAACTAATTCTTATATTAGCCTTAACTTTATTTTAAAACGGTTATATTATTTAATTACGAAATATTACTTAGGTATATATTTAATTAAATTAACCCTTTTATTATAAAATCTTTACTTAATTACTAGCTCGGATTTATTATTTATACTTTAAAAATACGGTTCTATATTTTATATAACTATTATATAGCCTTATAAAATCTAATACTTATTAATAAGTAACGTATAATAAGTATTATTTAAAAATATTCTAAATAATAATATTTACCTTCGACTTATACTTATTAATTTTAATATAAAAAAGCGGATTATTTAGTATTATTAAAATATAAATTAATAATATAATTAGTTTATTAAATAAGACTTTTTATTAAAAAAAAAGAGACTAAGCTTAAATATATTAAACTACTAGTTAAATTAAAATAGTATTTTTTAGTTAATAAACTACTTATTTTTAATAATAAAATCGTCTTATTAAGGGTAATAATATAATATTTAGATAAAAGAACTAAGAAAAAAAAAACTAAAATAAATTAACTTCTTAGTATTAAATATAAAATAATAATTTATTAAATAACGAGCTCGAAGTACTTATATTATATTAATTTACTAACTAAAAATAGCTTTTAATATACTATTTACTGCTTAGTATTAAATAAATTTATTATTTACTAATTATATTACCCTAAATTAATATATTAAATAATAAATAAACTACTTAGACTAAGGCCTTATATTTATGTTATTAAACTTAATTATAGCTAAACTCTTCGTTTTTATAAATAAGTTATTTATAAATAATACTAATTATACTTCATAATTAAGTTATATTATTATTTTTATAAATAAAAAATAAATTAGTAAAAGCTTTATAATTCGTAATAATATTATTTATTATAGCTTTATAAAAAATAGAAAAATTATTTAGAGCGTATTAATATTAGAAGTTTATAAAATAATTATAAGCGTTAACGTTACTTATATTATTTTAATTATATTAAACTTTGTTACTAAATAACTTAACGTTCTAAAAACCCTTATTATAGTTTATATAAACTCGTACTTATTATATAAATACTTTATTAAACTAAGTATTATAAAAAAAAAGTACTTTATAATTAATATTATAATATTTTAATAATTATATAAATAATATAAGCTTTATAAAATCTATTAAATTAGTAATAATAATAACCTAGCTAATAAGTTTATAAAGAGTATATTAAATAAATTTTTTAAGTAGTTCGTTAGTAAAAGAACTATTATAATTAAAATAAAAAAATAAGTAATATATAATTAAAATAATAATATATTATAAATAATAAGTTATTTAGTAAATATATATACTTTTTAAGTTTTAGTTTAAAAAGAAATATACGTATTTAAAATATAATTAAACTAATAAAAAGCTCTTTTTTAATTATACTAAATTCGTTAATTTCTAAAAAGTTTAAATAATTAAATTATATAAATTAAGAAATTATAAAATAATTAAGAAAATAAGATATTAAAAATTTTATATATACTTTATAATAAAAATTATATTAAAATTTTAATATATAGTTTTTAACTTTTTTAAATAAAAAATTTATAATAAATTTTATAGCTATATTACTAGCTTAAGAATTAACCCCTATTTTACCCTTTTTTATTATAAAAATAAAAAACTACTAATATTAAATTATAAAAATAAAAAATAAAAATTTAAATAAATAAATAAATAAGTAATTAAATAAGTAATTAGGGCCCGTATTAACGGACCTTTTTATTTATTTATATTTATAAAAAGATCGCGGGCTCTATTTATAAACTTCCTCCCTTCTATATATTTAATAAATAATTCGTTATTATTAACCTCGTTGCGACCAAAAGGTCTAACCTACTTTACGTGTATACCAACAATGGGAGTTTTCCTAGAGATCTCGCCTTCACAAATTCCTACTACCCTCGGTCCAGGATCCCTTCCAATCGAACACCCAATCGCCAAGCGCATTCTCGATGCAAGCGGACTGCCTGTAACCTACATCAACTCCGGAGCAACTTTCATGGACAACTTTTGGATTCAAATCAAGTCAGTCGTGGCAAAGAAGACGCTGATCTGGCCAGAGCATCGTGTGCCCTTTGTGGACCCTCGTGACATCGCAGAGGTTGCGGGCAGACTGTTCTTGTCCAATAATGCGAAGCACATTGGTGCATTTCACACAATGAACAATGGTCATGACTGGCTCACGTTCGAGGAGGTGGCGGCTATGTTGTCCGAAGTACTGTGTGAACCAATTGCGTACGATGGAAGCCTCGAGGCATTTTCCGCTTTCTATGGATCTGTTATGGGACCTCATTTGGTGCAAGCCATGTGGAACTTTTTCAAGTATGAAGAAGCTCATGAGGAATTTTGGTCCCTGAATAACTTTGCGGAGAGGACCCTTGGTAGGAAGCCTACAACTGTCAGAGATTGGCTGGAGGAACACAAGGCTGTATTGAAGAAAGGCACCGGAGATGTCCCTTGGGCTTCAAAAGCGTAGAACAATTTGTGTCGCATGATAAATCGTTCAGTTTCAAGAGTGCCAGTAAATGAACAACCTAATTCGCTATCCATAGCAATGATTCTATTACACGGGCTTCAAGGTCCCAACGCCCCCTGGGTTGCATCTCTCTCGCCATTGACCAGCTTCGGAATTCAGCAAACGGAGGAAATAGCCGTCATATCACAGGGAGAAACAAAGAATGCAATGTTCAAGCTGACTTCCAAAAGTCCACTACTCATACGAAACAAGACCTGCACAGACACACAAACGCTGGTTCACATCGATATTTGCGGTGATCGGATGATCTGAGAGGGTCAGGCTCTCTCGATCCAACGATAGCATTGAGCGACTGGAGGGGAGGTTTGAAAAGTGCGGGTAGAGAATGCTCCCCTTTAACGTAGGCGGTCTTCGCTGCGTTCCCGCCTGTTATACGACTTTGATCGAATACCCGTAGATGGGTGCCACATGTTGAGAGTTATCTCAATTGGACGTGATTAGTCCTACTGCCAAATGCGACATGTTCTCAGCTCTTATATTTCCAATGGCCAAAAAATGAGCGAAGTTGAACTATGAGATCGCTCGGGACGTGTCGCTAACATTGATTCATGCATATGAGAGTCTATGACCATCCACGATTCAGGGCTAGTAGGCACGCGTCCCCATCATAAGCCAATGTTTTGGTTTGCTCCTGAGTTGCAGGGAGCACACGGCACTGCAGACAAAAGGTCCAAGTCGTTGTTCATGAAAATGCAAAAGCAGCTGATTGATTGGTGGGGTTAGATTCGATCAGCCCAGACACTTGACAAAAAGGGACTTGAGAAGCTCAACGGCAGGCAAAACCCCGACGCCCGCTGCATCAATCGCAAAAGGGCGTCAAATCAGCCTTGACTAGCACGTCAAGAGATATTGCTAGAGCCTCATCATGGCCTACTTTATTAGCAATCCGGACTCGGGAGGGAAGGTTGGGGCGCCGGTACGCTAGCAAATAAGTGGACTGAGTCACACTGGGCCGAGTTAACTCAATAATCGTGGGATAGAATGGCGGGGAAAAGCGTTCCCGCCCCGGCTGGGTTCCGCTGGGGAACTAATCTTGGGGCCGAGTTCGGAGACCATCGACTAGGGACGGACGATCCCAACCGCGGTGAATTACCTATAATAGTGAGAATGCCCTTTGATCCGCAGCTGAGAATGGCAGTTATCTGCGACTTTATCATTTTTCGAATGAGAGCGCCTTTAAAGTCTCACCTTTTCAAAAGAATCCTTTCATTGTCGATTCGTTGCTCCTGGAGGTTTGGCCTCTTCCCCTTGCAGTCTACAACCGCACTCTCGAAACCGTTCTTCCCGTCCGAATTTCGCAGAATGGGTGAAAAGTCAGAAGCTTTGCCCAATGAGCCGCCGACACCAAAAATATGCAATACACCTCGAGAACACTCTTACAATACCGAGACGAGCACTGAGAGGATGGCCACTCACAGCAGCATCGAGGGAAGCGTGTCGCGACCAAGTTTAATAATCGATACGCCGCCAGATGGAGGCGCTAGAGCGTGGATGGTAGGTAGGTAAAACTCAGCAACGCGAAAATGTTGTACCAAACTATACATTATTGATAATGTGTCAGTTTTCAGCACGTTCTTAGTCGTTATGAACACCTGGTTCGTGGTTCGAATCTTGTTGTCGCATGATTTGGGGCGCTAACACATGATAGGGGGGTCGCAAACTCCTTTGGCGTCTTCCAGCCATACTTCACCAGTGTGTTTTCGCGGCCACAGTCTGATGTCTCGTGGATCGGTTCGTTTGAAGTATTCCTGCTCTTTTTCGTCGGGACATTCACAGGACGATGGACAGATATGGGATTTTTCCGTCCCTTGTTTATTGCCGGCTTCTTCCTTGTCATTTTGGGAATGGTTGCTGCCTCGTTTTGTACTACGTACTGGCAGTTTTTTCTTGCCCAGGGTATCTGCCTCGGGCTCGGAAATGGTTGTCTGTTCTGCCCCTGTATGGCAGTGACCTCCACGTACTTTGCGAAACGTCGCTCATTAGCGTTTGGCCTCACAGCTGCCGGGGCTGTTGTCGGAGGTCTTACTATACCAAGCATGGTTCGGGAGCTTTTGCCTAAGATTGGGCTTGGCTGGACTATCAGAGCAATTGCCTTAATTCAGGTCGTGTCCTTGATTGTTGCTGGCCTACTGATCAAGACTAGGATTCCACCACGGCAGGCAGCACCTCTGGTAGAATGGGCAGCCTTCCGAGAATCAGAGTATAGTTTCTATGCTATTGGAGCGTTCATGGTAAGCATCTTGATCCAGAGCGAGCATAAAGCACTAAAAGATATCCAGTGCTTCTGGGGAACCTACTTTGCCTTTCACTTTCTTGCGGCCTTCTCCCGGGACGTCTTGGGACTATCTTACACAGACTCACTTGACCTGCTGTTGGTTCTCAATGGTGTGGGTGCACTCGGAAGAATCATTCCGGCCCAAATTGGGGACATTATAGGCACTATTAACATTTTTGCTCCAATGGCGTTCATGACCGGCACCGTCATGTTTTGTTGGATTGGCGTGCGGAACACAACTGGGCTCTATGTCTGGACGGTTTTCTATGGGTTTGCTGTTGGTGGAGTCCAGTCTCTATTTCCATCCGTGCTTAGCAGTTTGACTACGGACCCTCAAAAGCAGGGTACGAGGATGGGCATGGTCTTCACGGTGGTCAGCTTCGCATCCCTCACTGGATCGCCGATTGCAGGAGCCATTATCGATGCGATGGGGGGGAGATATGTTGGCGCGCAAGCATTTGCCGGTTGTTGCATGATTTTGGGAATGGCATTCGTTCTTTCTGCACGGATTTGCAAAACGCGGAAGATGGGAGCGGGGGCATTCGCCTTAATTAAAGTTTGATATGACTTCTACGAGATCCTCATCGAGTACTTGCACGGTCTCTAAACGGTTATAACACTACGGGAACACGGCAATCGCGGACTACTTTAAATTTTGTGGTAGAATTTCTTGCGATTCATACATGCACAGATTATACCATCGAAACGAGTTTACAATCTGCGTCATGTCTCTCTGCAATGAACCACCGTATTACGAAGGATCATGCATGTACATTTGACTTCGACCTGGCGGTGTCGCATGAAAATATCGAGTAGGAGGAGTCTGACTTCGAAAATGCTGAAGAACTGGGAGCTGGCACATAAGGTATTCAAGTAAAAGCCATTCCGCTATGTCATTGATAATCTTGATCCGAATTTGATACATCAACTCTCTACAGTCCTCTTGAGTACCTTTGAACTGTCGTAGATTGACTAATTCTAAGCCATGATACTCCTACATTCTCATGCAAGTACCTCGCCTGTGAGGAAGATGGGCTGCTTGTTGGAGAAGTTGGGAACGTCTCCCATAATCCCACCAGCTTCGGGCCCAGCGAAAGCAGCCTTGATCTGCTGGAAGCTGTCCCAAGTAACGGTTGATCCAAAGGCGTACAATGGCGGAGTACCGTCAGCGCCAGGTTGGAATTTCGTTACTGACCAGGACGTCACGCCGTACTTTCTCCATCGCTCTTGGATCAATGGCATATGCTTGGTGGTATAGTAGTTGATATCATACTCGGCGTCCGGGTCGTTGGGGAAAACGACAGTGATGGTGACAGTCATGATGGGCGATATCTGTGATGTCTGAGAGAACCGAAGGTCTGTGTGGTGAAAGGTCTGGAATCGATTCTTAGATATAGCTTGTGATAGTTGAGAGTGTGTGAGAGAAGGTAGGACAAATGAGGGATAAGTTCGGAGTGTGAAGCGACATGATATAGGGACTTGGGTACTTATAGTTCGAGCCCCTAACGCTTCAAGACATATCCAGACGATGTCCACAGGCCGCTAAGCCAGGAAAGTTCTTGTACCTAAGATGCACGACGCGAGTAATGAGATGCCGTAAACTACATTCGGTATTCCTTCCGTTCCATTTAGTAAGACTACGGCGATGCCCGTAGTCTTACTTAATCGTTGTCCCAGGCGATGGGCTGTCTGTATGCATATTTAAGTATGCGATACCCTATACCCATTCCTGACCATCATCGCATTCTAGCATCTACTTTCCAGCAGCCTTCACTCTCTGGTTCTCCCTAGTTACCTACTTCATCATACCAGCCATGTCGACCAGGCCCAAGCTTCTCGTTGTCTTGACATCTCAGGATATCATGCCAACCCGGGAGAATTTCAGGACCGGATGGTATCTTCCTGAGTTTGTTCACCCATACAACGCTCTCGCCCTCCATGTGGACCTCGTCGTCGCTTCTCCCAAGGGTGGTGTTGCTCCCATCGACCCCTACTCCATTGAAGACAGCAAAAATGACGGAGAGTGTCAGAGATTTCTGAAAGAACAGAAGGATCTTTGGGAAAAAACGGAGACCCTTTCGTCGTTTTTCGGAAGGTCTTCTGAGTTTGCGGGAGTATTCTACGTTGGCGGGCATGGACGTGAGTAGGACCCAGACAAATATGGCCTCATTGAAAGCTTACACAGATCCAGCCATGTTTGATCTCGCCGTCGACCAGGTCTCACATTCCATCATCCGAGAGTTCTACGAAGCAGGCAAGATTGTCTCGGCTGTTTGCCATGGCCCCGGCGCCCTCGTCAATGTCAAGCTCACAAACGGGGAGTACTTGATCAATGACAACGAAGTCACAGGATTTTCGAATGCGGAAGAAGACGCATACAGCTTTACGGATGCAATGCCATTCCTGTTGGAAACAGAACTCAAAAACCACGGCGGGAGGTACGTGAAGGCGGATCAGCCCTTCGGAATAAAAGTCGTGGCGAGCGGCAAGGAGGGACGACTGATTACCGGGCAGAATCCACCTAGCGCAGGAGTAATTGGTAACGTATTGTTGGAAGCAATCAGGAAGCAGCAGATACCTTGAGACGTTTAGCACTATATAGTCAATGCGAAAAGACGAACAAGTATTTGACGCCGCGGATGTAAATTTCCAACCTAGAGCTAGCATTAGAAGCAATGAGGGCATTTATGAGACTTTGTCTTGGTCTCAAAAAATGTAATTGTCTCGTCATATTACACTTTAGTGTCTAGATACGGGTCGGACAGGGAATCAAATTTGGGAATTCACTCATTCTCCGACGAGAACTCCACAAATTTAGAGTTGTGAGGCCGGAACGCTAGCCCCTTTAGGAAACAGCCAAAGACCTCAATGGGACGACGCACCATGAGACAAATCCAACTTCATCCCTTAGCAAAATGGTGCAGAATTGCAAAACTTGCATCTCGCCTCACTAATTATAGTACCAGCTGGAAACTTTCCGGAAGGTCTCTGCTTCGCTCACAGACTTCCCTTCGATATTCGCACATTTGTTAGATTATTCGGGCAAAGATTGTGGGATAGACCCCTGAGGTTCAGACCAATGGTGAACCGAGGGCGTCTTTCGCCGGCATGCCTTCCATGCAGGGCGAGGAAACTCAAGGCAAGTTCTTTAGACCCACCGTACATTCCGATTGCATAATATTTTCCAGGAAAGATCTTTTGACTGACGGGCCGTCGCCATTAGTGTGATCTCCGGCCGGATAGGTGTGGCCAGTGTGCCAGAGCTAAGATAACATGCCATGGATATCGGGATCCTGACGCACTTCAATTCCACAGTGAGAACATTTCAGCAGAACAAAAGGTTATTGCTCGTCGTAGCCGTGTTCTACATGCAGAAAATCATCCAGCCTCTTTGGAGCTGAGCTGGGATACGCGAGCACGATACGCATTTTTCTCGACGTACATCCAAGGATTCACTCGGAGCATGGGTGAGATAGCTTACCATTACCGAAACTCAAAGACCCTAGATCATATTTCAGCGAGCGTCGAAGCAGTCAGTCTAGCCTTTATGGCTGTTCAGCTCGCCAGCCCGAATCTTCTCCTATTAGCCAACTCAAGTTACGTCACTGCTATTCAACGACTCAATCACGCTCTCAGCTCGCTCAATCCTAACGAAGCGGAAAAAGCACTTCAAACCATTTTGCTGCTGGATATGTACGAAAAGCTTGTCCACCGGGATCCGGCACAATCTCAGTCATGGCTGAGTCACGCACAAGGTGGCTTATCACTACTCGGTGCCCGTGAGACGAGTATTGTGTCTACCCCAACAGGCTGTCAAGTTGCAGCTCGACTTGTGACGGCGGTGACCGTAAGCTGTGCCACAGTCGGAGATAAAGTACCTCCAGAGCTTACAAAGATCCGTCGAAATATTGGCTATCGTGTCAAGAGCGTGAAATGGACATTTTTAGGTGTCCTTGCGCACGTCGTCAACCTTAAGTCCGACATCATTCACGGGAGAGTTTCGACATTGGAACTTCTCGTCAAGGCAAAAGGTCTGGACGAAAGAATCAATGCGTTGGACAAAGCCCGTCCACCATCTTGGAAGCCAAAAACCATACAAGTCACTGCAGATGAGCGGATTCTGGAATGTTTCTACGACATCTACCCGGACCACTACATCACTCAAGTCTCGAATGCAATCTGCACAATCCGCCTCATTCTTTACCACCTCATCAAGACTTACGTCCCCGAGGAGAGTCGCCCGAAAGAGGACACATTCCACGGAACAAGTCGCGACTCGGTCAATCAGATATGCGCCTCCGTGCCTCAGTTTATCTTACCAGGAGTACATGAAACAAATTCATTACCTTTTTCGCCTGTACAACAGCTTCACTGCAGCACCTTTCTGGCGCCCCTTTATCTAATCAATCAGGTATCAGAAGACAAGAAAGTAAAGGCATGGGTGCAACGATGTTTGAGCTTCATGTGGGAATCTGGTGGATTCAAATCAGCTAAAGAGATTCTTCATGTCACGCAAACAGCACCAGACCTAGATTACTGGACCGTGTTTGCTATGACCGGTAGCTACGCACTTGGAGCCTAGAACAACACCCCTGAACCTTCGATACATCCTCAGTCGTTCATAAGATGTAGAATGATAAAATGTTGAATATTCATCTCAAGTAGATAACCCGTGTGTAAAGGAAGGAGAACAAGCTCCTGCATCAACTCAAGGTGCAAGCAGGCTGGTATCATTTGCGATACGACAATAGCAACCTCGGGCAAGCTCGATCATTCATCGATAGGGGCGCATGAGTCACTGTCTACTTCTTTAATCCATCCAAAGACATAGCTGAGTCAACGACAGTCCTTTCATACGGCGTCCATTCTAAGCCCAAAATCTCCCTCGCCCGGGACGTGTTGTAACCAAAGGACTTCAAAGCCGAATTGGGCACTCCTCCAAAGCTACTAGGCTCTGGCAACTTTTCCCGCATTGAAGGGAAGCTGTTCCAAAGTGCATTGGCCATCTCCTTATTGCTGTAGAAGCCAGCTGTGGTAAGAAAACGCTTGCCCCCGGCGCCCTGGACCTCCATGGCCCTTACGTGTGCCAGGGCGACGTCACGGACGTCAACCCAGAGCGGCAATCCTGTGGGCGGTAGACCTGCCTTGTGCTTTCCCAAAATGACTTCCGCCAGAAGTTGGTTCGAAGTGTTGATCGCGGAGAGGGACTTGACCGGCAATCTCACGGGGCCATATATCATGGGCGGGCAGATTGTGGACAAGGTAAAGTTTGGCTTCTCGGCCTCGACAAAGTTCCAGGCCGCCTTTTCGGCAAAGACCTTTGAAGTAACATATGCCATCATGCCATTGGAGTAGGCATCTTCGAGAGTCACTGGGCTCCAATCTTCCTCCGAGTACGTCTTTTCTGCACCCATTGCTGCAAATCCAGGGTTCAGAATGGCTGCGAAGGAAGAGGTTACGACGACACGTTTGACACCGGGACAGGAATCCTTAATCGCCTTAAGAACGCCCGTTGTACCAAGAACAGCAGGATCAATGATATCTTTCTTTGGGTCGGTTACATTGTAATGAAACTGTGCATCGTTAAGTAGGGGGTTCAAGGAACGGTAATAGCCAAGTTTCCCAGAGACTTACTGGGCTTGCCACGTGTATCACAGCTTCGAGTCCAAGAGAGCCCAGACCTTCGAAAGCCTCATCCGCCGCAATATCTGGGACAATCACAGTGTTGAGGTTGTCCTGAGAAACGTCTGTGTATGCACCCAGTAAGGCCTGAGACTTTTCCTGAGATCGGACAGTGGTGATAACGGAGTGCCCACGCTTCAGCAGAGTGTCAATGACATGACCGGCCACGAAGCCAGTGCCCCCTATGTTCCAAACAGGTTGTGCATTAGCCTAATTTCACTCTCATAATACACTCATTCGTACCGGTGACAAGAACTTTCGTCATGATTGTGCGTGATAGCAATGGAGGAGATAGGACAAGTGCCTGCTTTGCGTTTGTGGATGACTTGAATAATACTAGTAGTTTGAGAGACGAAACTTGAGAAGCAATCCTGAATATTTTTCCAGCACTTTATAAGTCGACCGCTGCATCATTTCCCGCCGTGAAAAAGTTACACGTACTTCCTGATAAAAATCAGGAGAATGATCCGCGTCAGGTCCGGATGACGAAGCAAGGTGAAATTAGCAAGCAAAGGAACTTTCCCAGTGGCTCGATCTTAGCTTCCACAAGCTTCCAAGTCATTGCAGAATCAGTCATGAACGTTGCAATCATGGAGGCACTGGCCTTGGAATACCCCTAGCAACAGCATAAGGTTCGAAATGGCTTGCGGGGCGTGATGCATGCCGTAACGCTAGCCATTCTCGGACACGGGCAGCAACTTTCAGCGCGAGCTAGGAACCGGCGGACGATAAGAACAGTCCGGCTTCGGATCCGCGGCGGTGTAACCATAACATTACTCAAAATGGCGCTGACAGTTAACTCCACTAGCTCCGATATATGGTTCATCAAGGTTGACTTACATTGGAACATTCCAAGATCAGATCTGTTTAGGAAGCAAGTAGATCTATCAGAAATATTAAACACATCGGCAGGCCCCCTCAGATTCCAATGATTTGGAAACCAGTTGAAAAATGAGTTTGACAACGACCATACTTTCCCTGCCTTTCCAACCTCTATTGCAGAAATTTCCATCTGATTTTATTAGTGTCAAAGTTGCCTCGCAGTTTGAACATCCACTCTATCCCAACTAGAGACAAAATGGTCGGAGGCTTTGCGCGAGATGCTCCTAAGGGGTTCGAGAACTTCATCCAGAAGGTAGCCATTATAGAAGTAAGTGATTCCGGAGAAGATTTTCATGTGAATATGAGCTTAAGTAGACAAAATAACTTGTAGGCTGGCGGTAACATTGGGAAAGCCATCGCAGAGGAACTTCTAAAGACAGGGAAGCATACAGTGACCGCAATCACGCGTAAAGAAAGCACCAGCTCCCTGTCGAATGGTGTCAAAAAGGCTTTTGTCGATTACGAGGACAAAGAGTCTTTGGTCGCAGCTCTGAATGGTCAAGAGTTTCTCGTCATCACGCTTTCACTAAGCGCTCCTCCGGGTACTCACACGTCTCTGATTCAAGCTGCCGCCGAGGCAGGCGTTTCATACGTCATGCCCAACGCCTACAATATCAACACACACAGCGCAGCCATCAGGAAGGACATTCCAATCACGAACGCCGTCATGGAAAACATCGCCGAGGTTCAGAAAGCGGGCCTAACTTCGATTACGCTGATGAACGGGTTTTGGTACGAGTACAGCCTCATCGCAGGCCCGGCCACCTTTGGATTCGACTTGAAGAATCGCACGATTACTTTGTATGACGACGGCGAACAAGCTATCAAGGTCGCTACATGCGCGCAATGCGGTCTCGCCGTAGCATCTGTCTTGAGCCTGAAGATCATCCCCGAGGATGCCGATGATAAGTCGATAACCATCTCTCAATTCCATAACAAGACTGTTTTTGCCTCAAGCTTCAACATTAGCCAGCATGACATGCTGGAGAGTGTCAAACGAGTGACAGGGACAGTCGATTCTGACTGGAATATTGATCATGAGACCACCCAAAAGAGGTACAACGACGGTCTTGAAGAGCTGAAGCAAGGCAAGCAAGAGGGCTTTTATAAGTTGATGTACGCTCGTGTCTTCCAACCGACCGATGATGCGGACTTCTCTTCTGACAACAATCTTCTGAGGCTTCCAATCGAAGATCTGGATGAAGCTACACGCACTGCCATGTTAATGTATACTGCTTAAATTACTGATCAATAGATAAGCCATTTAGCACTCATTACAGGAAAACACGCTATTACCGCCATTCTGCTTCTACTTGCAATGAGCTTCCACTCGCAATCTCTTTCCTGTCCTCTGCCAGGCTACGTACGTAGGGTTCGCCATGCATTAAGATTCGACAGCCAATCTATTAGCTGAGAGAGTGGATCATTTAACGAGATCGGCTTGCTTCTCTTTCGCCGCCTTCTCTGCCTCAAGAGTCTCTGCCCAGGTCATCTTGGATATGCGTGGAGGTGGTTCCCGCTGTCCCTTGGAATTTCGAGGGACACTGTCTGCTGCGACACAATCGGGGCCACCGGAATAATAAGAGCGGCTATCGGCTTGATGATATTAGTGGCTGAACATTACAAGACAGATTCAATGTCTACAGACCCATTGTGTTTGTGACAGACAATGCCACTCTGTCCGCCTTCTCGCCGAAGGTCTTCAACTAGATAACGTCAGCACATACGATATACAAGTTGCAACCTGTCCAAGAGCTTAAAATACATACGAAGTCCATGTTAAATTCGAGAAAGAATAGATTTCGGAAGTCAAAGACACTATGAAGTGATACTTAATCTCACAATATACTGAAAAATCGGTGGGCCTTTGGGCAACGTGTTCTCTTGTTTAACCAACTTTTGTGCCGTTGTTCCTGTTTTCGACGGCTACGTTCACATTTAGCACACAGCACAGCCGCAATGCTTCGCCCAGAGTCCTACGCATTAAGCGACAAGTTGCGTCATTTTTGGCTGCATCTGGCCACCTCAGCAACCGGCTGTCGTTTTGCGAAGGGAAATTTACCGCCAATCCAAGTTGAGAGGTGCTGCGCCGCTGACACTTGGCATGATCGCCATGTGAACAGCCAGGGAAGCAGTGAATGGCTGGATTGATATTCGGACTCTGTTGGATGGCTGCGAAACAGGGTTAGCCGATACGCCCGAGTTATATGGCTTACTGTTCTTTCCACACCCGCCCCCTGTAGTAACGAAACCTTTAATTACGTATGGCGTTTTCCATTCTTACATTCCCGAGGAAAGGAAGTATAATGTATCTTTGCTCAGTCAAGTTTCTTCTACAATGGTGGAATGGCCCTTGATTGATCAATCTAGAGTTTTTGAATATCAAGCTCGAGATGTTTGTACTAGTCAATGTTCGCCAGCAATTCTTCGATCGTATCAGCTCAATTCGCAGTGACGACATAGACGATACCACCTGCACCTGATTTCAGTTAGTCTCCGCGCCACTTCTATTGCATAAAATAAGCCGATTTGTTTCGTTCGGGATACTGACGAGCAAATGGATCTTTTTGGGATAGCGGACGCGACTGTCTGAGACATTGAAGCCAACGGAAACAGGAAGACGCGGGTATGGGTGATGGCAACGGTCGCTCGAACAATGCCGTTCGCAGCTATAAATGTGGTAGAAAATAGTGTTGGCTAGAAGTGATACTGTATCAAATGAGTCATTCAGTACGAGCTTTTGGACTTGGATGGGTGGCTAGTGAACAAAAATGGCAACATCGAAGGGCCTGGATACTGTAAGATCGGCTCGTAACTGAAGTTCGTTTTCCTCACACAGCATGACCTAAAGTACTTTGCCATTGCACCCCAATCGAGGAGACGAATTCGAGTTTGTGAAGGTGAAGGGCAGGTGTTTGCTGGGAAAGGTTGAGACTCTGGAGTTCCGATACATTATCGTGGCACTGGTGTTCTTCACGGAATACCTTAATTACTAGCACTTGCCTGCCGGAAATCAGTACAAATGAGATCACGGGCAGCCCTACCACGAAGCTTCATTTCTATAAAAATTTCTAACATTATCAGTTTTCAGTAGAAGCTAGAATTGCTGCATAAGGAGTTCCCGGTGCACTTGCCCCCGTGCTGCTGACATTGACAGGCCTCCTGACTACATGTAGGTGGTGATTGTCGGTCACCGCCACACCTTTATGAACACAAGGTTACCTATCATTTTCCTATCGATTAGCGCCTCCATATTTGCGACTTTTTGAGGCTTTTGCTGAAACAGAACGACACAGGGGTGAGTCATTGCAGGCGACAACTCTGATCTCGGTGTACGCTGCATCGCTGCGAGATACGTCAAGGTGTCTACGTCCGTACTCAAGAAGATACATTGATTTCGTTGCAATATTTGGCGCGAGACTGTTTTCTCTCCGCTCTATGGTATATGTGAAGCATTGTCCCACATCAATCGCTGAGACTTTTGTTGGCTCTGATTTCTGCCCGCGACTCAATCCGGCCTCTTGCATCTCGTGAGTACACGTCTGCGTGGGAATACCATGTCACAAATTCTTCAAAATCATGCAGAAAACCTTTCGAGTAGTATCAATTTGCCGACCTACGTTATTGACGCCCGCTTGCGATCAACATGTACATCTCGGCCACATCGTTTCGCGTCCTCATGCCGAACAATTGGCCGAATGTGCGGATAATGTCGATTGAAGCCGACCGTTTCCCCTTAGAGTAAATGCATGTTGATTTTTGATTTGCAGTTTGAGTCTGTCCGTGATGGCGTTTCCGGGAACGGAGTATCGTCGGCAAACATTGTCAATAGAAGCAATGGAATGTGTACTCAGGTATTCGCTTTTTGGGTAGCGCGGAACATCTACATGTAAAGTAGGTACCTTAGCTCAGTATAATGGGGTGCATCTCTCTTCAAAATTTCAGCGACCGGATTATATATCTATTTCATCAACTTGGGTTACTGCTGTCGCATCAAGCGTGAAGTTGGTAAGTAGTAAATTTACAAAGGCTACATTTCACTATCTTATGCCAGTACGGAGAGCTCCAAGCTTCCATAATGGATGCACTGCCGGTGACTTTAGTTGTCCTTTGACTTCACGTTTCATATGAAGGATCACATATGACTATCCAATGTTTGACTTCAATCTCCAATTTTTGAAATGTCTGAATCGTTCAACTCTAGTAGAGCCCACCAAGATACATGTAGAGTCGGTCCAAAGGGCTTTGTTCCCGCAGTCAGGCATCGACTCCCTATCTTCTTTTCTAGGAAAGATCTTCATCTTTAAGTTTCAATTGACCTGCGGGTGTTGAGGTTTCTGAATCGAACATTCCGTGTGTATCACTTATCTTATTCCTTCATGTAGCTGTCTCAAAGAGGAAATACCTTCAGACTTCTCCGACTTGCGGCGCAATATGACTCCTGGGATCGCGGAGTGTACGAATACTGTCTCTCTATGCCAGTAGAATATCCGTAGTACAAGCGAGCATTTATCACGAACGTCTCAGTTGAGTTCCATTGCAACGACTCACCGCGCACCTTGATAGCACCCTCTGCAGTGAAGCCGAGAAAAATGCCTGAAATCACGGCTGCTGAGCGGCGACGCCTTTTACCCGACCGTCAAACATCACTAATCCAGCAACACCGCCTACCGCTCGGTGCAATCACGGCTGATTGACCATGACCCGAGGGCCTGGGAATAACGGAGTTGCTCCGCCTTGACCGAATTCGCTGCACGGGCAGCCATATACGGCACTACCGGCATTGGTGAGCAATAGAAGAGAAAGCTCCATAGCGGCCGTGGACCCAGCCTCCAAAGACGCAATCGAGAAAAAGAAAGTTTCAATCCAATCACGGGAGCGGTATCAAATTCGGGTGCGCTGGCCAAACTAACGGAAAGAATTTGAGCGAAATTGGCGCTCGAGATCGAAGGGGGTTGGAAGGTTTGAGGCCGGTGGGGATATTGGTAGAAATTCTAACCCAAGCTGATATGTGATAGCACCAAGCACATGGACAACACCCTTGAGGCTTGCCCACCCATTGGCGTGATTTTCAACTTGCTCCGACGTCCAACTACCGCAAGGATTTTCAGGGTCTCTTGTCGACTCATTAGGTTTTTCCATACGGATACCCGTCCCCTGTTAGCCACGTCAGTGTCGTGGCACTCTGGATAGACCCGAATGTAAGCGCGTGCACAAGTTACGGCATGTTCCGTTATGTATAGTCGCGCCTGGGATTGTTGCATTAACGAATTGATTCGTGACAATTAGATCATGGCCGGTGTATAAGATATCAACCGCTTGATCACATGATTAAGCCCAAGTGCAATAAGGTTGATAACATCACCCACCATCCGGATCCCCATATCGTACACTGTCACAAGTGACATCTGCTTAGCGAACAACAAACAATCCGCGCCAAGCTTTCACTCCGCGTTGCCAAGATGGACGATAATCCGATTCAATGACCTCCTCCGCGTTTTCCATAACACTTGTAGCTCGAGTTACGTTATTCCAACTCGTTTACGCCCCTCACCTCCGTACAGAATCTCGTGACTTGTGATGAAATAAATATCCACTAAGTGACTAGCAGCGCGTGAACTGTTGAAACTCAAATTAGAGTCTCCCTTGGCACAAACTAAGTTATGCTTCTCAGCGGCGGTGAGTACACAGGCCCGGGCTTTTCCATCTTGCCTGCCGCAGTGAAATATCAATATGGGCGGGATGATCCTTTGTCGTTATCAGAGCACTTGAGCACGTTTCTCAGTTGGCAAATTCCCTTCATCTTCAGTCGGCGGTCATGCACAGGTGATGTTTGGAGGTCCTTGCTATTACAGCTCCACCTGCCATTGGTAGACACAGCAGAGCACAGTAACCAAGGGCATTTCACGCCTAAGATGACGAGCTTAGGCAACTGCTTCCGCGAGCGGCTCTTAACGCCTGTATGTCAGTATTTCAGATGTGACTGCTTGAGATATAGTGCTTCATCTCTAGAGTAACGATTACGACCACGTCAATTTGATTGGGAGGACAACTGAACTAGCCTTAGGGTGCCGCGCGTTGTGTCCACACACATAGTTTTCACGTACATTATGTTTACGTACAGAAAAAGGAGCAAAAACTATAGTTTCGAAGCTTAGCATTGAAATCTCTGCCCAGTTCGCCATAGCACGTGTAGATTCCACCACAATGGAGACGCACTTGACTTATCTGATCTTTACT